TTATCGGTGTAATATCTCCCACAAAGATATGCAGTGGTAAACTCAAAGAATAAACAAGTATGCACTCGGACAACCAACCCCAAAAAATCAGCAACTACAACAATGGCAAAGGGTTCGATGAAGGAATCTCTGATCCTTTAAATGCCTATTCCAAATAGTACAGTGATATATCCTCCAAATCTTCCTCATACAAAGACAGGAAACAAATTCTTCCATCGAAGAAAATATGTAAAAATACATGTAGGAAATGGTGGCATGCAGACCAAAATATCTTATACTTTGAAACACTGTAAGATACTGATAAATGTAATTTATGCACTTATTTGTGGCCCTAAATCATAATATTTTATTGTCTTTTAGATTAAATTCTATCTAATTTATATTATATTGTGTTTTGTAGGTAAAATTTTATATTTAATGAAGAATTGGAGAAACGAATGCAAAAGTGGCAAAAAATAGCAAAATCCAAAGATCAAACCCTGGAGAAAAATATTAGGGGTACTTACAAAAATACCCTTAAAATTATGGATGTTTTGAAAAATCATATGAAAGGTTTTAGGAAGTAAAAAAATATTGTTTAAAATGAAAAAGTGACACAAACTCAAAAAAAGTGAGAAAACTAAAAAAAGTGACACTCTCAAAAAGTGATACAAACTCAAAAAAGTAACACAAGCTTAAAAAAAAATGACAAAATACAAAAATAGCACCATTTATTTGTGCAACATCAGTTATCATATTCTTAAAATAATCAGTATGTCTAGACCAACCCACATACTATTATGTTAGGGCAATATAACATATTACTTCACTTTTTTTGTTTTCTTAAAAAGTGACAAAAACTTAAAAGATGACAAAAACTAATAAAAAAAAGTGACGCAATGTCACTTTTATAAAATTGACGAGTAATGTTGACATCCCTAAATGGTAATACATAAAATTAAGTAAGTGACAGTGTGATACAATCTCACTTTTATAAAAAAAAAGTCCTTTTGTTAATAAAAAAAAGTGACCAACAAACCAAAAAAGTAATAGAAAATAATGACAAACTATAAAAAATGACCGAAACTCAAAAAAAATGACAGAACTTAGAAAAAGCAATAGCTAGTTAGCAATCAAGAAAAAGATGCGGAAAATGGAAAACAAAAATTTCCCCCTTTAAGATGTGAACTAATATACATGAATCCACCATGTTTAATAACCTGGATATTTAATAGCAAATTTTAGACGGGTCGCTTTTGTTTACTTTAAAGTGAAAAAACAAAAGTCAAATTTATTAGTTACTTTCAAAATGAGTAATTTATGTATTACAAATTCCATGTGTTGTCAAACTGCAGTGTCCACATTATAACCAGTTTAACTATTAACCAAATCCTGCAACCTATGTGATAACTAAACTTCACCATAAATAAGGTTTAACACCAGAAAATTGCAACGGCTGGGTCGTACGAAAGGTTCAAAAACCTCAAATGCAGAGAAAATAATTTACAGAAAGCATGTTCAGTAAAATGTTTTGAAAAGTCGATATTAATTATTCTAAAGCCATATCCATGTTCTTATCTTTACAAGTACCAACACCACTGCGTTGCTATACGCCAAGCACAATTCTTAAAACACAGAAGTACAAAATCATAGCACAGCAAACCCACAAACAGGTGGTGTCTCCCCCATAGTAAAACTTGGCCGGTGGCCTTCAGATGATCCATTGTGTACAGGTGCAATTGGCCACTTCCATTCAGAAGTCGATATTAATTATTCTAAAGCCATATCCATGTTCTTATGTTTGCAAGTACCAACATCATTGCGTTTGCTACATGCCAAGCACAATTCTTAAAATACAGAAGTACAAAATCATAGCATAGCAAACCCACAAATAGGGGGTGTCTCCCCCATAGCAAAACTTGGCCGGTGGCCTTCAGACTATCCATTGTGTACAGGTGCAATCGACCACTTCCATTCAGAAGTCAAGATTTAGAACCCACCAACATGTTGCTTTGGTACATTACCATATCGTCCAAGAATCGAGTTATTGTTACCATAAGCTGGAGGAGCATTGCTCAAGCCGGGACAATCTTTTGCCCAGTGCCCAATTTGATGGCATTTAAAGCACTCGCCACCAGCACTTGCCCTAGGAGTTGGGTTACTGCTCCCATAAGCTGGAGGATCATTGCTCAAGCCGGGACAATCTTTCACCCAGTGTCCAATTTGATGACATTTGAAGCACTCACAACCAGCACTTGGAATGGTCGAAACTCTACGGCGAAGACGACAGAGAGCAAACGGCGAAGATCAGAAAATAGGGTTTCTCTTTTGAACCTTTCAAGAAAGTTTGTCTTGTGGGACGGGAATTGGGGATCTGTGGCATGTTCAATACAAATTAAAATATGATTAAAATTGAAAAGCTAACCGTTATTGTTAACTTTTATTAGACGAGTGAGACCTAATACGACTATATTTTCAATTTTAATTGGATTTTAAGCATGACCGAACACGACTCTGATTTGGGGGGTTTTACTTTTAGGACGTATTAATTACGTGGTAAGTAATTTATTTAATTTTAAAGTGTATAATTCAATTTGGTTAATTTAATAGAGTAGTGGGCCTAATTTCGTTAAATGAGGCTCAATAGATTTGTATTGAAAATTTTAATTGGAGGCCTAAATTAAACTCATATATATTTAAACCTAGACACACACACACACACACATAGGGGGATGGATGGAAGACAAAAGAAACAGGAGAAAAACGCAGGAAAGAAAAGAGAGAGAAGGTAGAGAAAGAAAAGTCAGAGACAGAAAAAAGGCAGGAAAGAAAGCTAGAAAAGGAAGAAAAGAAAAGAAGAAAAAGAAAAGAAACCATAAATACTAGAAATTTTCACGTTTCGTCAATTGTTGGTGATATCTTTTCACTTTTGCGCATTTTTATTTTTATAATATGAATAACTAATTCTTATATTAGAGAAAACAATGTAGTTATCTTGTGAACCTTTATTATTTTATTCAAACTTTTATTTATTTTTAGTTGTTTTAATTAGGACTTGTTTGTATTTTTCTAAACTTTTTTGCAGTTATGAATGCAATTAATATTTTATTTCTTTTCTTTTTAATTCAAATAAAACGGTAAATTTGTCATTTTACAAGAAAAATTGATCAAAAGGTTGTATTTTGCAGCGTTTGGGTTATTTAGGGGAATTTGGTGCTAAAATGAAATGTTGGAGAGGTATTCCATAAACAAATACTAACGTTATGAGAGTATTATGCCAATTACCCTATTTTTTTTAGAATCAAGAATGAAAAATGATTCGAGAAAAACGATACCATTAGTTGAATTTTAATCTTCCCTTAATGGATGCAAAGTGTTTTAGTTCATGCCTTCTTTTTAAAAAATTAAGAGTCCATTTGATTTATGTTTTAGTTTTGAGTTCATTTTCAATTTTTAGCTTTGAGTGTGTATATTAAAATTGTTAAAATTGTGTTGGATTTATCATTTTGAAAAATTATTTCTTATAATGGAAAATTAGAAAATGCATTTGATTTACAAATTTTTTACAATATTTAAAATTGTTTCATAAATACATAAACAATTAAATATACAACATTTACATTTTTTTAGCATTTGATTTACAAATTTTTTACAATATTTAAAATTTTTTCATAAATACATAAACAATTTAATATACAACATTTACATTTTTTTTAATAATAGTTACAATTATTTTACAAATAAATATACAATATTCATGGATAACAATTGAATTCATACAAATTGCATGCTAACTTATTTCTTCAATTTCATATCATGGATTGGTTGATTTCATCAACCTTATATGCTATAATCAAAAATTCGATATACTTTATTCTGAATATGCCACAATTGCGTTGCAAATAAATAATAATGTGTTAGTTCGGTACGATATAGCTAAAAAATAAGTTTTCAAATGAAAAAAATTATAAATATTTATGATTTCGACTGTCTTTCCGTCGTTATGTCTTGCACCATGGCTAGTCTGTCTAGTACAATCACCCCCACTTGTCTAGCCATCAAAGGAATGATCACAGCCACCTGCTCTAGGTGAAACTCGAGCCGACCTTGTGTCAGATAGAAATGATCGGAGTCGTACATATATATAGTGGAATCGGCAGAACATCAAAGGCCATCGGGACTACTAAAACTGTTGGATATTCCAAAATGAAAATGGGAACACGTAGTGATGGACTTTGTGGTAAGCTATCCGAAATCAGCAATAGTCTACAATGCTATTTGGGTAGTGGCTGATCATTTAACAAAGTTAGCTCATTTCTGCCTATCAAAGTAAATTTTAATATGGAACAGCTCGCACAATTATATATTAGAAAGATAGTCAGATTGCATGGAGTTCAAGTCACCATTGTTTCAGACAGAGACCCGAGGTTCACATCGACATTTTGGAAAATTTGTAGGTGGCCATGGGAATGAACTGAAGTTTAGTACTACATATCATCCACAAACGGATAGACGATCAGAAAGAACCATTCAAACTCTTGAAGATATGTTGAGGGCATGTGATTTGGATCTTGACGATAGTTGGAAGACACATATACCGTTAGTAGAGTTTTCTTACAACAATAGCTTTCAAGCTACTATAGGCATGGCTGCATATGAAGCTCTTATGATCAGAAGAGCAGTTCCCCTATCCATTGAACGAAGTCGGAGAGAATAGAATTTT